GTTGCTTCCGGGTCCAATTCAAGGCGTTGGTTATCACCTTTACAGCCCTGCATGGCATGGGCCCAGGTTACCCGAGGAGCCGTCTCGTCCCGGTTACATCCGCCCGTCCCACCCAATCCGGCAGGAAGGGCATGTGGCAGACCCCGTCAGCTAAAGAATTACGACTGGCGGGGTCAAGGAGGAGAGCTTTTTCCACCATTGCCCCCGCCCCGTGGAACATCTTGCCCCCGAGGTGAGGCTGGCCCCCCCCGGGCTTTCTGGAAGAGCAGGAAGCCCTGGCTCTGCCACCCGGCATGGGGATCTCATGGGGGCTCGCAGCTCTGGGGGTGGGCGGTGGTCGGATGACGCTTCCCTCACCTTTTAACCTGGCACATTTTGTAAAGGTGTTTCATTGCTTCATCGCCTTCTATGCGTAAGCCGCCTAGAGGCGCTTGCGCAGTGAGATGGGTGGTGTATAAATGTGATAAATAAGTAAATAAATAAACAAACCAGCTCCCCGGCAGAGGGGAGTCTTCAGCGTACGGAGGCGATCACAGGAGGCGCTGCAGGACATGTTAGCAAATGGAAACAGAACGACCCCCCCACACCTTCACCCTAACTGAAGCATAAGCAAAACTGCCATCTTCTGTCTATCCCCTTTTCCTAAATTGGAGGGTGCCACTGCAGGAACGTTGCCTCCCGTGCAAAGCTGCGAACACGAGAGTAAATCCTCTAAATCAGGATAGCCCCTTTCATGACATGTCTTTAATTGGCACCCCCCATTCTTCCCTTTGAGGTTATAAAGGGAGCCACCATGGGAAAGAAAATAGAAAAAGGGAAGCGGATGACGGGATAAAATCATTATTAATAATAGGCCCTTGAGGTGACTGTTTATCCCCATTAAAGCGGATCCAAATGGATCGTCTGGACACATCCAGCAACCAGGAGCTACCGACTTCCTAGGCTGTTGGTTCCAGGGTGTCCATGATGGTGGGGGCGGTGTTACAATCGAACCCCCCCCCTTTGTTCCTGCGTACTGTACGTGCACCTACAAAAGGGGTTAGGCTTCAACGCAATGCTGAGCCCACCCTCCTGCAAACGTCAACCACTCTCCACCGATGCTCCTGATGGGTTCCACCACCAAAACTCTTCGAAACTTTGAAAAACTTTCCTAATATCTGATCAGAATTTGACCTCCTGAAACTTAACTATTTTTTTTTGTTCTGCATGAAGTATCTGAAGAGTGTTATCATACTTCCTTGAACGGTTTTCCGGAAAGCTAAAGGTACAAGGTTCTCTCAGTTCCTCTTCCTCCTCCTAAGATTTAGCTTCCATATACCTGATCATTTGTATTGCCTTTCTCTTCACCACTTTCCCTGATTTGTTCTTAAAAATGTATAACAAAATGCAAAAATCTAAAAATCTGCAGGTGACCCTGAAAGCAGCCCCCCCAGAACTCTTCAAAAATTACCAATGAACTGTAAATTGAAAACTATTCAACTGTAAATTACCAACGAATTGGGAATTACAAGGGTAATAATCAAATCCACTGTATGCTATACACTAAATCTTAAAAAAAACAAAAACAAACAAACCTTGCATAGGCACCCATCTCATAGTAGTGATGCTGGTCAGTGCACAGGGGATTAAAACCCCAAAACCCAAAAGAATATACAAAATATTTAGACGGTTGCGTATGAAGGTCTGTCAAAAGGCAAAATAGTTGTGCATAAGAGGGCTTTTTACTATTTGAACTGAGAATTGGGAATATGTCAGGAAAAACATAGAAGTTGAATGCAAGGGCGGGAGGGAGGGAAAAAGGAAGGAAGGAAGGAAGGAAGGAAGGAAGG